GTGTAAGTGGATCAGGAATGTGACATGAGGGTGTGAAGAAGCTGGTACAGATGGTAACTGCCCATGAATTATATTCTCAGATGCTGGTGACTGCTGTCCAAGATGAGGCTCACAGTAGCAAGTGGCGAGCTGGAGTCATCAGGTCGAGAATTGTCGCTGTCCAGTTTCTATCTGGGGGAGGTGTGGGAGCCCAGGAGATTACATATCAATGTGGCAAGATTTGGCAACAATGGCATGTTAACACAGGCAAGCAGATGCTCCTGGCCTCTCACCACACAATATATTCTTGTCCCATCGTTCAAAACTTGGAGAATTGAACTTTGTCATCTCAATATTGAGAATGTCATTTCTGCCAATCTCACATTATTTTCCTGACTGAGTCACCGATGCTGATGTAACTCAGGGACTGGGAAGATTCCACTAAATATATCAGCTATCTCACTTGCCAATTCTTTTAAGACCCCATGATAAAGTCCATTAGGTCTCAGGAAATTGAAGCCCAGGGCTATTCAAATTCCCTGAGTGTCATTTCTCTGTTTACTCTAATTTTTTTGAGATGTTCCCTCCCTTCCTTTCCTGAAACACAGCGACTTCTCAGATTTTATTTGTATTCTCTACAGTGAAGACCAATGCAAAATACTTGTTCATGTCATCTTGCTATTTTCCCAAGATCAGTTTCTATTGGCCCAACACTTTGTTAACTCTTTCCTTTTAAGCAGCCATGAAAACCCTTACTACCTGCGCTTATATTTTTAACCTTGCTTTCTCTCATATTCTATTTTGCCCTCATTTATCTTTTCATCAATATTTGTTGTTTTAAATATTCTGTTTAGTTAACTACCGATAGTGGATCTCTCCTTGAAATATTTCTTTCTTGTTGGAACGTATCTATTCTGTGCATTCTGAAATATTGTCTTAAATATCTGCCACCGCATCTCTATTGACCATTTCCTTAACCTAACTTGCCAGTTCACTTCAGCTAGCTGTAATCATATTTGCTTTCATTTAAGTTTAAAATACTAGTTTTGAACTCAGTCCTCTTTCTCTGAAACTGAATGTAAAATTCAATCATATTGTGCCTGTTGTGACCTGTGGGTACCTTCACTATGATGTCATTAATTAATCTTGTTGCACAATACTAAGTCTACTATACATTTACCTCCGGTCAGTTCCAGAATATGCTATTTTAAGAAACTATTCAAAATTATTCTATGAATTCCTCTTCTAGGCCACTTTTCCCCATCTGATTTTTCTAATCTATATGTAGATTAAAATGTTCTAGGGTTATTACCTTGCTTTTTTGACAAGATAATATTATTTCTTCCTTTATACTCAATTTACTTTGTGGTTACTGTTGAGCAGCAGTGGGGACAGGGCTGAGTGCTACTCCCACAAGTGACACTTACGTTTGTCATTAATGATCTGTAAACAAACCATGATTTCCTAAGCTTAGGTCATCCCCCTCAACTGTATTAATATCATCAGTAATTAATAGAACCACCACTCTACCATTTCGTAGCTTCCTATCCTTCTTAAATTTCCTATATGCTTCAATATTTATTTCCCAATCTATTTCATCCTGGTGCTTTGTATCTGTAATGGCCATCACATCATACTAAATATTCAACTGTTTTGGTTCAGATGCCTTGTGCATTCACATACAGAGCCTTTAGTATTGGCTTTTTGTTATCTTTGTAACTTATAGCATTAGCTCTTGATTCACTTAGATATGCACTTGCTATTCATTCGTGTCATAGTCTATTTATCATTTCCCATACCTATATCTTTTTCTCTTGCATTGTTTCTACTTTTTGAACTACCTCCCCATTCCAAAGTTAATTCTTTGTCCCCACTAGTTAGTTTAAAGTTTGAAGCTCTATCTACTTCCCTAGTTATGCACCTTGATACAATTCATATGGACAAGTTACTGGTCCTAATGAGTCTGGTTCTGAGGGAGAAAAGTCTGTCTCGATCAGATGCCTGCTGACTTGAAAATATTTCTCAGGAAGCAGTTATTTTCTTCAGCTTCTGCAGAACAAATGGACATTCTGTAGTCACTGTAAGAAAACAGAACTCAACAGTTTCCAGCTTTCAAAATAATGGACACAACATTTTAAGGGCAGGAGGAACGAGGAATGAGGTACAAAGATGAAAGCACTTTTAGCAGGACTGGCTATTGCAGCAAATGATAGAATTATCCAGTGACTTGTGAAAAAGTGCAATGCAAATACTGAAATTGTATTTGGATGTGACTCTTGCGTCAGGAAACAATCACATACTGGGGAAAATTCCCTGTGGTTGTGCAATACGGAGGTATCATTATAAAGATATAGTTAGCCATAAGAGTGCATACTTTTAAGAGATTAGACAAGGAAATAAAGGTTATGGCCAATCTCAGAACAAAGGTAGAAGCAGAACTTCTAATAATCATTAAGAACATAAGACCACAGACAATAAGTTAAAAGAGTAGAATTAGACTATACGTTCCATTGAGTCTGCTCGGTCATTCAATCATGGCTGATATGTTTCTCAACCGTATTCTCTTGCCTTCTCTTGGTAACCTTTGATTCCCTTACTAATCAAGAGCCTATCTATCGCTGTCTTAAATACAGTCAATGACTTGGCCTCCACAGTCTTCTGTGGCAATGAGTTGCACAGATCCAACACCCTCTGACTGAAGAACTTCCTCTTTATTTCAATTCCAAAAGGTCATCCCTTCATTCTGAGGCTATGCCCTTGGGTTCTGGTCTCTCCTACTAGTGTAAACATCTTCTCCACATCCATTCTATCCAGGCTTCTCACTACTTTGTAAGTGTTAATGAGAACACCCCCCTCATCATTCTAAACTCCATTGAGTACGGACGCTGAGTTCTCAATCACTCCACATATGACAAGTTTTGGTGGCTGCCAATAAACTTGAAGATTAAGTAATAACAGAGGCAAACACAAGGAATCAGACCTTTGGAGACAGTTTGGAGTTTATTTTGAGAAACCAGATAAGGGGCAAACAACTTTAACATATATGGATTTAGATTTTAAAAGTCCTCATACAGGGAAGTTTGAAGAGCAGACTTAGCATTAGGTTCAAATCATAATCATCCGTTTCTTTTTTGGACAGCAGATTTTTTTGCTATTATCATTTACACCTCCACTACATGAATATTTTGTTTCTTTTCCCCAATGCCTTATACCAGAATTCCTTTTCAATATTTAATCTCTTCTGCCTTTCGCATTATCACAGACGTTACCTAATGACCTCTCCACCCTACATTTTCCTGGTCTCTGTACTTGCTTGAAACCTTTTACAAATTTAACTTTTTCCAGTTATAATAAAAAATTAACGTTCCCTCCATTACAGACCCAACTCAGCATCTTTTAGGGCCAGTTACGAGTAGACACCAACCATGGATGTTCTCAGAACCCTCCTATAAGAAATACCATGAAATAACACCCAGTTATTCTTCCAGTCAGTTTTCTCATCACTAATTTAACAGATGTTTTCTGGTGGAATGACTTGCACAGAAACATTTCCAGTCTTTTAGCCAAAATCATGCTCTAGACATCATACTCCATTAAAAAATAGTGGCTTATTCAGTACTGCTTAATGTAGATCATCAATATGGTAGTACACAAAAACAGATGTCCATGATGAAGCTGATGCTATATTAGGAAGCTAAGTGGCAGACATCTCAGTGTTGAACACCCTTTACAGTAATTTCCCACTGCCACAAATCAAACGTAGAGTGATTCTGAATTTTGTTCATGTGCCAAAGGAAAAATATCCAGTGTGTTACAATAATTATATATATGGACAATCGAATGTTCTTCCATCGTCAGTTATATCGGAGATCATTTAAGGACTAAAGTGGTTTCAAAACAGGACAAAAATGGTTGCTGTGGTCACCTGACCACAGACTGAGGCAAGTCCGGAAGACTAGTGTGGAATAAATGAGACCTTGAATTTACTATTTTATCTGAAGATATTAAAACTAAGCAACTGAGTTTGTGTCAAGAAATTTGCACCATCTTATTTAAGATCACACTTGTATGTTAATATCACATACTCAGAAATGAAAAGCTCATTTTCCACTGAGCCAGCTTGGAGAGACAATGGGGTCAGAGTTGGAAATATATGGATTAACTATACTTCAGTAATCGTTTTGAGCAGCATGTCAAAGGGAAGGAAACATGAAGTTGTAACAAGTAGTTGAAATGCTTCTTTCTCTCTTCATTTCTCTTCATCTTTGAAAACTACACATGGTGGAAATATAAATTAGAGAAGTAACCATTTACCAAAAACTCAAAAGTATCTACAAACTTTGCTACCACTGAGGATACAATCAACAAATAAACTGAAGCCTTCACTATTCCTATATCTATCAGACCATTTTCTTAATAAAAATATTTATTATCTGATGTGTGTGAGAGAAAGACTTAGATTGCCTTTTATCATTTCTTCTCAGGTTAAGTAACTAATACCATTTCTCCTTCGTTCAGTGAAGAAAATCTTGCAATTGACTCCTTAATTTTGGTGAGGTGTACATTTTAATTTTAACGTGATAAATGTTTGTTTAAAAGAAATAAAAATATTTACTGCAACTGACAGTGTTAAAAAGAAGTGAGATGAATGGCCCCCTCTCACCTGGTTGTAACAAATGCATGTTTGGAGTTTTCTGGTATCACTTACTGAAAATAATCTTGATTTTATTTATTTTTGCTTTTTGACTTTGTTGCATTTGAACAGAGACCTTAAGGACCAAAGTATCTTTCATTCTTTCTGAGCTGTCTTCTGAATTATGTTCAATCAGATTGGCATAATGACTAAATAAACAAGCTTTATTTTTGAATAGGTGATAAAACACACCATGGATAACCATTGAAATACTATTTATTGCCTTTACTGACATTTTGTATCTAGCACTGCAGTTTTGTATTTTTTCATGATTGAATCAACCATCCCTTTCTCAAATCTCATTGCACACCAGCAAAGCAAACCAATCTCAGTAGCACCGACGATGCACAATGAATGGGCCCCGTTCTTTATAATCTTCCTGGCGAACCCACAAAGACTGGAAGGCGTGGAGTGAGGCCAAGATGGAGCCACCAATCCAGACGCCGTACTTCCTCTCTGGGACAGCGTGCACATTGGTTTTGGTCTCTTTCGAGACCAATGCAAAAATCTCTCTGCAAAACCGTGAGTAAAATCCCTCGAACATAGTGGAGCCTCCGCTCAGCAGGACGTTATCGTACATGAGTTGCTGAACCTGGGGCTGAGTTTTTTTCAAGCTGTTGATGGTCATCACGTGAATCCCTTCTTGGTTCGAGCCCATGACCGACGGCTTGAAGAGAGCTTCTGGACATTTCATTCTCTCCTTGCCAATGGTAATAACATGACCATCAGGGAGTTCATAGTCCACTAGGTACTCTTGCTCGGACAGGTTGCTCTGTTTGTCCTGATCCACGGCCACATAGCAGCATTTCTGCTTGATGTCTTCAACGATGT